AAAAAACGAAGTCCAGATGACATGATTCAACCTTTTTTGTTGATGACGATATTATATTTGAGCCATCGAACACCCCTAGCGCCACCACAAACCTGAAACAGCTGCTTAGTTGATTTATTTAGTATTTATTTATCAACCTTTATTTCACCAGATCCCATTGAGATCCTAGATCTCTTTTGCAAGGGAGGCCTGGGCCTGAAGGCAGCCTAACGTACATGTTTTCAGATGGTGGGAGGAAACCAGAGCACCCGGAGGAGAAAATCCACACAAACATGAGGAGAACACGTAAAATCCACACAGAAAGATCCCATGTCCAAGATGGGGATTGAACCCACGACCTTCTTGCTGTGAAGAAACAGTGCGAAACCATCATGTTGCCAAAGGTCAAAGGTCCTTGTCCGGCCAAAAGCTTTACTTTGTACAATAGTTTCCATCTAGTGAACATCAAACATTTGAAACAGAAAAGAAACATGAAAACATCAAAAATCTTTATTATCAATTTTTTTTATTCACATGTTCTGAATGTTTATTTAATTTCCCTTTGAGATTACTGTAATAAAGTAGTTTTGAAGTGAATGTGAATCCAAATGTGGGCAGTTAAAGGTCAGCTGATGAAGGCTCAGCTCAGATTGTCAGAAACAGAAGCGAGGCAAACAGATTTCACTTTATGATTTTAACTCTGAGAATTAGAATTAGGTAAACTAAATAGGCTTGACGGAGAGTAATAAAAACAGAACAAAACTGAAAGCAAACAATTTTTAAAAAGTGTACAGGTGCAGAAGTGCCTCATCTGCAACAGCAACTCTCCTGAGAGAGATCGAGCTCTTCTTTTACACATGATGTGAAAAGAAGCAGAACAATCTGCCTGTCACTGCAAAGTCCTGCAGAAACTGTTTGTTCACAGAAAACTTTGCTTCATATGGTAAATACTGAATTACAGCTTTTCATGTAAACACAGCCTAGTTTCTGTTCGGATGATAACACATGCTGCTCATCTACACACAGTTTAATCATCTGCAGGTCAGAAAAACTTTCTGCACTGATTGCACAACATCAATTTAGGCCCACCCAGTTTTTCCACAGAACACCATCTGTGTGGTATTCCTCTTTTCTGCCTTTTGTAAAAGTAAATGAATTGGCCTCCGTGTTCCAGCACTTATAGAGGGGGTGTAAGTATTAAAATAATTAAAGGCTCTTGGACCTACCTTGATATGCAGCCTCTGTGGCTTTCCTCTTCTGTTCTGCTTCCTCCTCTTCCTGTTTCTTCTTTCTGCAGTTAAAGTTACACACTTTTTAACAACTTGAACAACAGTCAACATAATAAAGATGTGTCAGATTAATGTTGGAAGATTAAATTGGAATAATTATATGGTGAGCCATTTCATCCATCCATCCATTATCTTTACCCGCTTGTTCCATTTTGGGTCACGGGGGTCGCCGGAGCCCATTTCCAGCAATCGCTGTGCGAGGGGCGGGGTACACCCTGGATGGGTCGCAAGTCCATCACAGGGCCACATAGACAAGCAACCATTCACTTTCTCACTCACACCTAGGGACAATTCAGAGTTACAAATCATTCTAGCACGCATGTTTTTGGTCTGTGGGAGGAAACCGGAGTACCCGGAGAAAACCCACGCATGCACGGAGAGAACATGCAAACTCCACCCAGAAAGGCCCCTGGACCGGGGTTTGAACCAGGGACCTGCTCGCTGAGAGGCAGCAGCTCTACCAGTTGCGCCACCGTGCTGCCCCGGGATTTTTATTTATTTATTTACGTGTATTTCCATCCATCTATTCATGCATTATTTTCCACTTGTTCTGAAGTTGGGCTGTTGGGGCAGCAGCTTGAGCAGGGAGGTCCAGACATCTCTTTCCGCAGTACCTCTTCCAGCTCTTCTGGAAGGACTCCAAGGTGTTCCCAGGCCAACCAAGAGACATAGTCTCTCCAGCGTGTCCTGGGTCTTCCCCAGGGTCTCCACCCAGTAAGACATGCCTGAAACACCTCCCTAAGGAGGTGCCCAGGGAGCATCCTTACCAAATACCTGAACCACCTCAACTAGCTCCTCTCAATGTAGAGGAGCAGCAGTTCTACTCTGAGTCTCTCCTGATAACTGAACTTCTCACCCTATCTCTAAGGGAGAGAGTCCAGCTACCCAGCGGAGGAAACTCATTTCAACCACCTGTATCCACGATCTTTTTCTTTCGGTCTCTACCCAGAGCTTGTGACCATAGGTGAGGGTAGGAACGTAGACCGAATGGTAAACTGAGAGCTTTGCCTTCCAGCTCAGCTCCCTCTTCACCACAACGTGTAGGATTTCTGGGTTTTCTATCACTCAGTCTCTCCACAGCCAGTCATCACTAACTCAACCCACCTGCTGCTACCTGAGGAGGACTGACCTGCTGGTGTATTCAAACCCCAACCAGACGCCTCTTCAGTGCTGGGACATCAACTGCCTTATGGTAATTCATGTACAGTCAAACTAACATCTTGACTACAGATGGTTTTTACCCCCTGTGATTTCTTTAGAGACTCCCATGTCCTGCTCTTTCGAGTCCTTCCAAGGATCTCGTCTCTCCTCTGTGGCTCACCTGTGGAGCAACGTGTCCCTTCAACTACAAACCACCAAACAAATCAGATTGGGTCAACCTGCTCCGCTCTCCACCAACACTCACCTGGATCTCTCCTCTCCTCCTCATGGCGCATCTGCAAGACAAGAACAGTAAGTATTTGTGAAAGTGACCCAAGTGACTGCAACAAGCCCAAATCATTATCATTCTATCACCATGCTGACAGCTAGTAAGAGGTGTTTGAGCTAATCTGTTGTTTTTGATTTTCTATGAAAGACCAGCCATTT